AAGAGATTTTACAACCGTTGGGATTTAGAATCCAATCCGAAAAAGTAAAACTTCCTCCTTTCCCTATATTTTTTATCCACAAAAAAGACCTCACTTGTATTTGATCAAACATCCGATCCACATTCGCATGGCCCCCTTTGAATACTACCTCATTCCTGGTATTCCAAGTTGTCCATACCAAAGAGTACCAAACAGCAGCCCAGCCCAGTCGGTTATTTGCTTTGGATACCATGTCTTCATGCTACATAAAAGAATCCCTACATGTTCCAGCAAGTACAGTGCTTAGACCCCACCATTGAATGCATTTTATCCAAATTGCTGAAGCAATTATACAATGGAGGAAAAGGTGGTCACCATCCTCCACACATTTTTTGCATAACCCGTATGTAGTTGCTTCTATTTCTGTGACTATTTCTCTTTTGAACAGATTGAGCTTTGATGGAATCCTGTCATGCAATAATAACCATGCAAACCCGCAAACTTTGTTAGGAATGTGACTGTTCCATAACCTTATAAATAATGATTCTTGTGATGAAGGTTGTTGATGGACAAGTTTGCTGTATCCTGATTTCGTTGTTTATAATCCCTTGCTCTCCGCCTTCCAGATCCAAGTATCATCCTTGTCTTTTGGGAAATCAGTCATATCGATCCGTTGCTTTAAATCCTGTAGTGGTTCGGTCTCCCAGGAAAACAAGCTTCGCCTCCATTCAAAGTTCCACGACCATGTTTCACCTTTCCAGCTACCCATTTCCTGTATAGAGCTTTCCTTTCCTGTAGATAGCATGTATAATCTTGGGAAAGCATTAGCAAGCACTCCTACATTGCTCCAACTATCCTTCCAAAAGCTAACATTATTTCCTTTGCCAACCTTAAGCTCATAACCATCCAATAACCACCCTCTTCTATTATCTTCCAAAACATCCAACCTACATATATCCCTCCACCATCCAGACCCATTACCTTTACCTTCCCTCACCCACCCACACCAATTATCTTTTCTAGACCCATATTTTTCTTTAATTAGCCTAAACCATAAGTTCTCCTTACCCTCTGCTAGTCTACCCCACCATTTACCTAAGAGCGCCAAGTTAAAAAGCCTAATGTCCTTCACTCCTAGACCTCCTTCTTGTTTGCTTCTACACACTAGTTTCCAATTTACCTAGTGTATTTTCCTAGTCTCCCCCCTCCCTCCCCATAAAAAATTACTTCTAATTCTATCAATAGATTTCACAATACCTTTTGGAGCGAGGTAGACTGATAAGAGAAAAACAGGGAGTGATGTGAGCATAGAGTTGAGAAGTGTGATCCTGCCACCGAACGACAACCATCTATTTTTCCAACCTGACAATTTCTTCTTTATTGAGTCAAGTAAAGGCTGCCACATTCTTAAACCCTTTTGGTTTCCACCTACAGGCACCCCTAAGTATTTGAAGGGCATTTCACCAACTTCACCATTTAAAGACCAAGCCATTTTCTGTAGCCATTCTATATCTGTATGAATACCAAGTAGTTGGCTTTTATGGTAATTGATTTTCAACCCAGATGTGAGCTCAAAAGCCCGCATTATGCATTTTACAGCCCATATGTTTTCTTCTCAAGCTTCCCCAAAGATAATTGTATCATCCACAAATTGTATATGGGAGAATCAGACTCCATTATTGCCTATTTTCACTCCAGTAAATAACCCTTGCTCCATTGCTGACTTGATAATTCCATTCAATCCCTCAGCCACAATTAGGAATAAGAATGGGGATAGGGGATCACCTTGTTTTAGCCCCCTCGAAACTCCAAATTGTCTAGTTGGACTCCCATTCACCAATACTGACAACAAACTAGTTTGAAGGCATTCCATGATCCATTTTCTCCATATCTCACTAAATCCCATTCTCATCATCATATAATTTAGAAAATTCCAGTTAACCTTGTCATAGGCCTTCTCAAAATCCACCTTGAAAAAGAAACTCTTCATCTTCTTTTTCCTAGCTTCATCAATAACTTCATTTGCTACTACCACTCCTTCGCATAATTGCATGCCTTCTATGAAAGCCATCTGGTTCTCCCCAATGATGTCTCCCATTACTGTGCGTAGTCTAGTGGCTAGTAATTTTGCAATGATTTTGTACAAAGCTCCAATGAGTGAAATTGGCCTATATTCTTCTATCTTCTGTGGATTTAACACCTTTGGGATTAAAGTTATAAAGGATACATTTAAGCCTTTCACTAACCTGCCTTTCTCATGAAACTCTCGTACGAAGTCGACCACCTCCTCCTTTATTTCTTGCCACATTCTTCTAAAAAAAGTGAAGTTGAATCCATCAGGCCCAGGAGCCTTATCACACCCACAATCCCATACCGCCATTCGAATTTCCTCTTCACTAAATGGTCTAACTAATAAATCACTTTGCTCTTGAGAAATCTGGCAAAAAGATAATCCATCCAAGGTTGGCCTTGTCCATTTCTCCTCCTTAAATAGTTCTTCAAAAAATTCAGCAACTCCTTCTTTGATTCCTGCAACGTCATTCAACTGCTTCCCCTTTACTTGAATACTGATTAACTCCCTTCGTCGTTGCCTGCTTCTAATGCTTTTATGGAAGAAACTTGAGTTGGCATCACCCTCCTTCAACCATTGTTTTCTAGACTTTTGCCTCAAAAAGCCTTCTCTAATCTTCATATTTTTCCACAACTCATAAAATTGGTCTTTTCTTTGTTTTGCTTCCTGTTCTGTAAGTGAAGATTGTTCCCCTTTCAGGTCAAGTGTTTCAATGCATTCTAATCCTTCAATTATTTTCTTTTCTAGCTGTGGTTGATCATTCCCTTTCCACTCCTTTATTTTCTTCTTTACTAACTTTATTTTCTCCTTCAGGCAGTATCCTTTCCATCCTTGTACAGAAGCCGTTCTCCAAGTTTGAGCCACCAACTCACAAAAATCTGGTTGTTGAAACCAATTATCAAAGCATTTGAAAGGTTTTGGTCCCCAATTTAACTTTTCATCTCTCAGCATCACAGGACAATGGTCAGATAGGGACCTCCTCAATCCCCATTGTTTAACTTCAGCCCAATTTAAAAGCCACTCTTCTGAGAGTAGGAATCTATCTAGGCGACTCATTGAGCAACCATTTGGGTGGTACCATGTATATTTGCGGCCAACTAAAGGAATATCCACCAACCCTGACTCCTGCATAAACTTCTCGAACTCTTTCATACCATTAGTTGAACTGTTGTTCCCTACTCTTTCCTGCAGATTTTTGGTGGCATTAAAATCTCCCATGACACACCAGTTTCCTCTGTTATTGACAATTATATTTATCAACTCCCTCCACAATTGTCTCTTTCTAGTGACATCACAAGGGGCATAAACGTTAACAAAAAATACTGGAGTTCTATCCAATCCCCAAAAACCAAACAACCCTAGATAATTTTCTCCTTCTATAGTTCTATCCATACTAAAAATACTATTATCCCATACACAAAGTAGACCACCTGACTTTCCACAAGAAGGCTTGGCCACAAAATCGAAATTATCTGAGCCCCATAAAGTTCTACATGTTTGCCTGTCCATCCCTTCCATTTTTGTTTCCTGTAGGGCTAGATACTGTACCTTTTCCTTCACCACCCAGTCCCTAACTTCCCTTCTTTTACCTAGCCAACCAAGGCCTCTTACATTATAGGATAGAATAATCATGGCTGCAAGATGCTCCCCCTCCCTTCTTTTGCCTTCTTTTTCCTCAACATCTGCTTCTTTTCATTGACATCTCTTACCTCCATCATCTCAATCTTCTTGATTATCTCTTCTTCATTTCCATGGCCTGTTAAACCCACCTTTTTTGCAAAACACAACACATCTTCTGCCAAGTGGATTCTGTTTCGTATATTAATTCTCCTATTGCAATTTTCAATAGCACTATCAGAAATTGATTCACCTGCGACAGGATTTGACTGACTTGGGAGGAAAACATGCATCTTCTCTAACACTTTCTTCCTCGTGCAAGATCGTCCTCGACGCCCTCTCAAAATAACATCTGCACCAGTTCGAGATGAGTCTTTATACACAGCCAAGCAAGAGCGGGATCTCTTTTTCTTGCCTTTTCCCTTTTTCCTCAAGTTCTTCCTTTCACCTCTACTCTTCCATTCTTCAATCTTGTCAGGGTCGCTTTCGAGCCCTAACCAAAATGAATCACCGTCAGAACTATAGTCTTTTTCTTCTCCGATTCCAACTGACCCCTTGTTTTTGTTTGTTGAAACCACGGCCTTATTCCGCTTCTTATTGGATTCAAAGTAGCCCAGGCCCATTTCCATGCCATCCAATCTGATATCATTACCCACATCCTCCATCCTTCTACAATCTGCCTAAATTTTTAATGTATTTTGAAGGCCTTCTCTATAGCTTCCGGGCCCATTATTCTCCATCTCGAGCCTTTCAAGTTCTAGAGAGCCTTGTCCCATCTCATTATACTCTTGTTTCTCATTATAGTTACTGGGACCAATTTCAGATATCTTCCCCTTTTCAAAATTTGAATTATCTCCGTTTGACAAACTTTTCAAATGCCCCGCTTCTCTGTTATTAAAGTTTTGCGGCATAGCAATACTTGTTTCACCTGCATCCACTAGATCTTCTGCTACACAATTGTCTTGGGAACAGATTGCTGTCTTGTCCAAATTCCCCTCACAGTCGTCCTTGATGCCAGCTGTGTTCATAGGGTCTGTCGAGTTCCACTCCAGGACTGACTCTTCAACTTTCTGCCAACTGCTGAATGCCACGTCTTCCTCTTCTTCTCCAAACGTTTCTGTAAATGGAGCATTAGTATCACCATTCGAGCCATCATCGTTGTAGAAATGGTTCATATCCTCCGACGGGTCACTCGAAGACCATGAATCATAACCTTCCTCCTTAGAATTCGACTGGCAATTCGGAACAAAATCTGATTTAAAGGTAAATAGGCCACTCGTAGTCTCCTCCTCCTTGCATTTAATGCAAAAAAATTGGCCGTTAATTTTGAACCAGAGTGCTTTGGATATAAGATTCGTCTCTGATGTGGATATAAGAATTCTAGCCACATCAAAACGCTTCTTCAATCTAGTGCTTTCATCCAGTGAAATAAACTTCCCCCATAGTGTCGCAATGATGGTGAAGTATTCTGGGTTCCAAACATGAAGAGGAACCCCATAGCACTTAACCCACACGAATCTCTCTGTTGCCACCATCTTTGGTGACCAAGGTTGGACCTCATCGAACCATTGGTTGAACCAGTCCTTGGCGGACTCTATTAAGTCTTTCAGTGCCTCTTTATCTTCAGAATCTAAAAGCACTAGCTTTCCTCCCATTGCTCGGGCTTGATCGAAAAGAGCCCTTCCATATATAGTCTTTCTTGGAGGATTGGCACAACCTCCACTGATCTTGCAGTTCCCACAAAACATCCCTTAAGCCACTCCCAATCGTCTGTCTTCGGGTTGAACTCTAAGCCCGTCCAATTCTCTTCCCTCCTTTTTTCTATCCAAACTTGCTTTTGATTACCACCTTTTCCATTACTGCCTGGTTTCAACAGTCGATCCCCACCACTAGTCACTCCGTTCCCAGTACCTTTCACCACTTCCGCGTAGCTACGCGT